CTGAAATTTTGCCACTGTGTTCCCCGGCCAAATGCTTTCCCGGAATTGTGGTATCAACCCTCACGCACGTCTGGACCCCACGTACGACCGCGTGAAAGTTTTGGCGGGAAAACTGCTAACTTGGGAACGAGAAAACTCAGAAAGCTGAAACTTTAGGAAATGTTCCCTACTTATGTACGATCAAAATCAGCTGTTTGGAAGAACCCGGGACCCACGTACGGACACGTGAAGGTTTTGGCGGGAGAACTGTTAACTCGGGAACGAGGGAAGCTGGAGGGCTTTAGCTTTAAGGGATCATGCGTTTTTGCACTAAACTCGTAGGTTGATAAAAGCAGGAATGGTCACTGCGCTGTAACCTAACACTTGGGCTCATATTGGTCGTGCATGGCCTCTTTCGGCATGCAGGAGAAAGGGCGTCGGTTGGGATGAGGGTGTTGCATTATAGAGCCGTATGGACCTCCAGGTGCGTGATTACCAGTTTTTTGCATGATGCCCGGTCGTTTTTCTGTTAAATGCTCGCTTCTTGAAAAAATGAAAAATGCAAATTCCCGGTCCACTAAATAGTGAAAATGCTGCTCGAGGGGTCGTTCGTTAAAAAACCCAAGTTGGATGAGGGCGATCGTTCGCTGCAAAACGCACTTGTTTCTGATTCTTCCCCAAAAGTTCGGCCTTCCAGCTTTTTCCGCCAAAACTTTCACGTACTCGTATGTAAGAACTACGCATACCTGTGGACTGGTTTTGAAATATTTGATTTGTGCTTGGGCAGGGGACATTCCCCCAAAATTTCAGCTTTCTAGCTTTCCTGATTCTCGGGATAGTAATTTTCACGTCTGTTAGGTCCTCACTTGATTCTTGTCTGCAGCAGTGAAAGACAGGGAAGAATACCAGCACTTTGTTCTTCCAACAAGAGCTTCGCTTCAAATAAAACGACAAGTGGGACGACGCGTTAAACGACGAGTGGAACAACGCGTAAAACGACGAGTCGGGGTGCCGCACAAGCTGTTTAGCAGAAGGATGCTGGCGGAGTTGAGGCGGAACGCTAGTTGCGTTAGTAGTAGAAGGATGAATGGCGTTGTTGATCATGTTGATTTCAAAAACTATGGGCTTGGGATCTAAGAAGGGGTTTATATAGGGAAAATTGATGGAGGGAAAAGAAGAGCAAGTTAGTTAGTGAGTGAGAAGGTAGGTAATATGGAATTATTTAGAATTTGTTGGAACTGTTAGAAATTAGTGAATGGAGGTGAAGTAGGTCGAAGTGTTAGGAATTAGTGAGAGGAGGGAAATTGGATTGTAGGGTTACACTCCAAAACTTTCATACGTCGTTACGTGAGTACCACGCATAATTGGGGGCTAAATTTGAAATCTTTAGCTAACACATGCACGAGGGATATCCCCACAAAGTTTCAGCCTCTTACCTTGCCTGGTTCCTGAGATCGCTCTCCCGCCAAAAAATTGCATATTTTTTTATAGTGTCCGTACGCGGCACCCAGGCTTCCGCGGGGAATGATATTAAAACAGGGTCGCGCATGATATGGGCACATACTCCCAAAGTTCCAGCCTTCTAGTTTTTCTGGTTCTCAAGTTGAAAGTGGGTAATAAAAAGCGCTAACACACACACACACACACAGCCTCTTCCCAATGTGCGTTTTTGCAGTTTGCATATGTGCAAAAACGCATAAAGCAAAAGGAAAAACGTGTGAATGAAAATTGTCGTATTAAGCCCGTCTGCAATAGTGGGCTTCCTTGTTTATGGAGCTGATGCTTGGGTAAAGCAAAGAGCTGTCAGCTTCGCCTAAACATCAGCATCATAAATGGCAGTTCTTTACTGATGACAGTTTTTTATGCGTTTTTGCATAATATGCAAAAACACATGTTGTGACGATCCCGGTGTGTGTGTGTCTATGTATGTGTATGTATGTGCGTGTGTGCGTGTGTGTGTGTGTGTGTGCCTGTCCGGGTATTTTAACTCGGCACCCAAGCAAGCTCCGGTGCCAAAATTTTGGGAGTGGGTTCCCCGGCCAAGTGCCACCCCAGGATCGCGGCACCAACCCTCAAGCCCGTCTAGGCCCCGCGTACGAGCGCTTCAAAGTTATTGCGGGAAAATCGCTAACTCGAGAACGAGAAAAGCTAGAAAGCTGAAATTTTGGGATTATGTTTCCACTCCAAGTAGAACTCAAAGATTTCAAATTCAGCTCCGGGTGGTCGTTTTTCCCGCGTACGGCCCCGTGAGGGTTCCTGGCGCGAAAATCGCTGGCTCAGAAACTAAAAAAGCTGGGAGGCTGAAACTTTCAGGAAATGTTCCCGACTCATCTACAATTTAAATTTACCAAACTCAGCCTCCCACTATGCGCGATTGCCACGTATGGCCCCGTGAAAATTTTTGGCGCGAGAATGGCTAACTCCGGAACCAGGGAAGCTGGGATGCTGAAACTTTCAGGAAGTGTTCCCAATTCATCTACAACTTAAATTTATCAAATTCAGCCCCCCACTGTGCATAAGTGCCACGTAAGGCCCCGTGAAAATTTTTGGCAGGAAAATGGCTAACTCCGGAACCAGAGAAGCTGGGAGGCTGAAACTTTCAGGAAATGTTTCCAGCCATCTACAGCTTGAATTTATCAAATTCATCCCCCAATATGCGTGGTTGCACGTACGGCCCCGTGAAATTTTCTGGCTGGAATTTGGGTAACTCGGGAACTGAGAAAGCTGGCAACCTGGGATTTCAAGGGAATGGTCCCTGTCCAAGTATAGCATAGACAACTTCCCGAAATTCGAGGACCAGTATGTACAAAGGGTTTCTAGCTAGCGGAATTTCGAGTGATCTTATTCCAGTACAAAACACTGCAAAAACGCATGATCGCACGGGCTCGCCAGTGCGCGTCGCCAATGATCTTTTGCTTAAAGACTGCCTGCAGTAGTGGGGTCCGTATTTACGAAACTGATGCTTAGGAAAGGCTGCGAGCTCTCAGTTTTATCTACTAAGCTTCACCATATTTGCTCTCAGTTTTGCCTAAGCATCAGCTTCATAAATGGGGATGTCCCCTATTGATGACGGGCTTTTCTTTTGCTTTTATTTATTTTTTGTTTTTTCTCATAGTTTCACCTTTTTTTTTACTTTACTTTTATTCTTGCGCCCAGGCTTGCTTTAATTTACTTTTTTTTTGCGGTGTTTTGTTTTTTCTTTCTCTTTATTGCTGTCTACGGTTCTTGCCTCGAGTTCTCGCCTTGTATCCTCATTCCCTTTCTTTATTCTGTTCGGAAATCCTCCTTGCAAAGCAACATCTGAGCTCCTCTCCATCCCACTATAAGACCACTCTGGAAGCAAGTAATATCTCAGTCCTTCCTCCACCCAGGGATTCGCAGCAAAAACCAGCAGCACGGTCCCTCCTCCTTTTTACCCATCATCCCCTCCCGTCTCCCTTACACGGTGTAGGCAACCATCAAAAGAACTACGCCACGTAGCTATTCAGTGTGCCCACCCAACCCCTTCCTTCTGCCTCGAATCCCCACGTGCAAAACTCGCACTCATTACCCCCTTCGTACCCACTCCATCCCCGTCCCGTTTCTCGAATCCCATACCTAAAAAAAGTGCTGATGCACTGTCAACCTCCCCTCCTCCCCCCGCCTCCAGCACCCTCTGCAGTTCAACCCCCTTCTGAGCCCTCTCCCTACCCCCATACCCGCGGCAAAGGCCAGCACCACGGTTCCTCCTTCTTTCCAGCCACCATCACTTCTCTCCTCTACGTGTCCTAGGCAATCGCCAAATGATCCACTCTACCTAGCCACTCAATCCATCCTTCCATCCAACTCCTCCCCCCCCC